TGATGCCGCTGGCAGAGTCCTGCCACTTGCCTGTCTGTGGGCACAGGCAGCTCATCCTTCAGCTGCGGTAGGGGCCTGACCCTTCCTCTGGTCTGGTAACTCCTGGGAACTTCCGTCACACCTGACACCCAGACCCTGGGTTGCTTCTGGTCACCTGCCAGCCACTGTCAAACCCACCCAAACGGAAGGGCAGTGTATTTGAGCTTGACAAAGACAGTGCCCCCACAGATGACAGTCACAGAGCAATCCACTGAATTCATCCCGTTGCCCCGCACGAGAGCAAAGCCAAACGCTCGGGACCCGCAGGGAACGTTTTCTGAGCAGTTACCATGTGTCAGCTCTGCTCTGTTCCTGAGGTACATGAACTTAACCCATCAGCAACTCCAGGTGAGCAAACTGCTCAGCGTTGCTTGTACCTGGCAAAGCCAGGTTATTGAGAAGACCTTAGCCTCCCTTGGAAAAAGATCCGGAAGAAGTCGCCCTGAATTAGAACAGAATGACCATGGAGTTTTAATTTATAAGGACAGCGTACTTCTTGGGTAATAAAAGTGATATATGAATTCACATTGATTTCTGTAATACTTTTTACTGCTGAGTAACCAGCTGGTACAGACTTCGTGGCTTCACCTGCCACCCACTTACGAGCTCACAGCTCTGTAGGCAGAACTGAGGCCCAGTGAAAAGAGCATCCCCACCACCCTCACAGCGTTAAAACCAGAACTCTGCACAATCACGGCTTTTCTTCAATCCCTTGGAGAACCGGGGTTGCTGGGTAAGAAACCCAAGTGCAGGAAAACATCACCTCCTGGGGAGCGTCTGAGCCTCACTTACCTGCAGCTGGTAGCGGGGACCATGCAGGCCACGGAGGGGCTGCAGACCTGGGAGGCAGAGGCAGAGGGAGTCTGCGCAGCAGCTCTTCCCATGGGCCTCCCTGGGTGTGCAGGAGGAGTGGGGACAGGTGATGGTCTGGGCCACCTGCATGTCAGGCCTGGGAGGTGGGGGTGGAAAACAGCTGCCGGCTGCCCCCACCCCACCCCCGTGCTGAATGGTAGAGAAATAGCCAAACCATTCACGTATTGAATTGAATAGAAGAGGAAGTTTGGTTAGATGGAAAACGTTTCTAATGAATTTCAGTTTCTTTGAGCACTGAAACATTTACTTGACTCACTTCTAAAAACAATGTATTAATTAATGTGGGGCCTGGCAGTGAAAAGGAAGCCTCTCCTGATCTTCTGACAAAAATTTCCTTAAAATACTACTAATAATGACTGCGTCAGCAGCAATCAGAGGCAGCAATGTTCTAGGATGTTTTTACTTATATTAACTGACTTACTTCTCGGGACAGTCCCATGAGTTAGGCACTACTGGCCATTCCCATTTACAGGGACACGGAAGTGACCAACTCACCCGGAGACACATCACGTGTGGGATGAGGCAGGATTCAAACCCATCAGCACGTGGCCAGGGAAACCCTCATGTATGTCCACCAGGGGCCTGTGTGGAGTCATGTAGCAGGGACATCTGGGGGCAGCTGGGCACTGACCAGTGGGAACTGCAGCCTGACCTGGGGATCCTTGGGCACCTGCAGCTAAGTGAGTGGGCCCGGTGGCCCTCACCAGCATAGCCACTGAAATGTCTAAGCTTCGACGGCGTCATTAATGGATATCAGAAATGAAACGGTGACTTGTGTTGTGTACGACCCATATATATGTAGCAAAAATACAAAATTGGTCTTGATAAATGCCAAATTTGTACTTGCATTTGGTGCAGAGGAGGGATGGAGGGTGGGCGAGGAGACCACAGGCGACTTCAGATGACCTCCATAAGGTCCTGATACAGCTTAGCATACACTTTCGTATTTTTAAATTAGAAGTTGTGTTTGTTACAGAGTGTATAAACTAGAGAAAGGTATAAAAATAAAAATCACCTACAGCTACAATTGTATCACTCATAACCAGCCACACTCGCACTGGTATGTACCCTTCCAGTCTTGGAGTGCAAGCTCCGTTTGCAAAATGACTAACACATAATATTCTTTAAAAACTAGATTCTTTTGCAGTATTATTACAATAGCCAAGATTTAAAAATAGTTCAAGTGCCCATCAGTAGATTAGTGGGTAAAAAAGCTGTGGTACATTGACACAATGGAATACTACTTGGCCATAAAAAAGGGAAATCTTACCCTTTTCAACAGCATGGATGGACCTAGAAAGCACTATGCTAAATGAAATAAGCCAGTCAGAGAAAGGCAAATATAATATAACTCCACTCATATGTAGAATCTAATGAACAAAATGAACTAACAAGCAAAACAGAGACAGACTCATAGATACAGCGAGATCCCTGAGGGCCACCTGACACTGGAAAGACAGGCTGGCCCGGCTGGAGCTCGAACGGCGGGCAGGGGCCCGCTGAAGGCCTGCCTGGCTGGGGCCCGTCTTCCCCTCAGCGGAGGGTCTTTGCGTCCCCTGGGCTCTGACACCCTGGCTTCTGACCCTCAGGAGCAAGGGGACCTGAGGCCGGCGGCGGTTATCTCTGCCCTGCGTTTCCCAAGCTGCCCTCTAGGTGGAGCAGTGGGACTGGACATGGCAGTGTCCCCCGCGCAGCGCTCCCCAGGGCAAGGTGACTGCAGGACACCTCTCGCTGGTGCCCAGGGAAGACTATGTTTTCCAGTCAAGGGACCCACCAGGCCTTGACTGAGGCTGACTGGAGCCCCCACAGCAACCTACCTGGGCTGGGCCCTGGTGTCCCTGCTACCAGATCCCACAGCAAACAGGGGATTTGATTCTGGGCAGCTGGCCCCCAGCCGCTTTAGTGGCCTCTCTACTTATCCCATTAAAGCCACGAGGCCAGAAGCTATTCCTCCCACTCCCAGAGGCTGGACACCGTGCCCAGTTCCCAGAAGGCCTGGGCCCCAGGCCAGCAGCCCCGCCGTCTGTGAGGTGGCCACTCTCTTCCGGCCACGGTGGGCAACCTTGTTCTTGTCTGGAACTCGGAGGATGAGGGGCTGGGAATAGAGGTGCGTTCCCACAGCCCCCCACACACCCTGTCCCCTCGGCCCACAGGGAGGGGCCCCCATGGCTCCCCATGTACACGGCAGGTTACCGGTTCATTCTCGGACTTAACTCTGGAGGGGCCTCTGCCCCCAGAGCCACCCCCTCTGCTGGCCTCTTGATTCTCCAGAGTGAGATCCCAGGCAGCCCCAGGAACAGGGGATTGGTTCTTATTTTTTCCATTTTTTTCTTTTTCTTTTAATAGCGTTTGAATTCTTACCCATATGTTTTTCTGGCCCCTCTGGCAAAATGCTGCCCTAGTTGTGGACAAAGCAGGCTGCTCAGCTCCCCTGGGAATCGGACACTCACCGAGAGGGATTCGATTGAAAGGCCTTTTTCTTGGTCTGGTTTGACTCCCTGAGCCCCAGTCCCCCCCGCCCTCCCCTCTGCCTCCTCTCCACTCCGTTCCACTGGAGCCCCAGGAGGGAGGCTGGGCACTGGGTGGGGCTCTTGGGGCTTCCGCGTGGAGTGGTTGTTGAATTTGAAGATGGAAAGAGGAGGTCAGGTGTGACAGGACTCATGCCATCCAGCTGCCAGGCAGATGTGGGCCCCAAATGTTACTCTGTGAACTCAGGAAAGTCCTTTCACTGGTCAGAGCCTTGGTTTAGACAGCTGTAAAATGGGTACAGTAGGATAGCGATTCTTCCAGCAGAGCAATTCCAGGAGCTCAGAGAACATGGCTGGCGGGTGCCTTGGAAGCCCTGGGCCCCGAGTGTGTTGTGGTCGTGCAGCGTGGCCGCGTGGCTGATCCCGCCTGGAGCCTCACAGCTCACTCTGACCCCCTCTCTCCTCCCAACCAGCAGCTTTAACTTTTGAATTTGACTCAAATGAACACAGTTTAAAAAGTCTTAAATAACATTACAGATCAGATCATGAAAGACAGCAGACCGCTTCTCCTCCCTGTTCCTGTAGCGAAGACGGGCGGGGTGGGGCACGGTGACCCCGCCGACTCTGGGTGCTGCGGAACTGGAGGCAACACGCTCGCAGCTGGTGGCTGGTGAGGAGGAAGCCGAGGCTCGGCGGGGCAGGAAGCGTGTGCGGAGGCAGGAAGACGGGCGGCGACAGGCTTTGGGGGCCACTTTATCCATCACCCTGCCCACTTCCTTTGGACACTCTTTGCAGCCTGGTCAGCACCAGGTTGTGCAAGTGAGGCTGTGGTTACCTGAGCTCAGCCCTGGTGAGTCTCAGATCTGGAGCCTTGCCTCTGCCATTCCAGGAACCTAACCTGACCTTATGCTCCTGAGCCCCGGTTTCCCCATCTACAAAATGAGGAAAATAATATGACCTTCAGCTCCAGAGACCAGAAACAAGACGCAGACCAGGTCACAGTGGGGGTGAGGAAACACCCAATAAAAGGCAAGTGGGGCTGTGATGTCTCTGGGGACCCTTGTGCTTTGAGGACACTGAGGCTCACCTGACCCTTCTTGGACTTGGGTGTCATGGTGCCCTGTGCCTGCACCCAGGAGATGCTCTTGGCGACTGTTGGAAGGAGCCCAGAGCTTCCTAGGCAGGCTCTCCGCAGCTGGTTTTCAGACCCAGGGCCAGCAGGTGAGGGAAGCATTTGGTCGAGGGGCTGGATCTCTTGGGCCACACTGCCTGCAGCCACCACTGTCCCTGCTCCCACTAGGCAGACACTTGGGCCCACCTGAAGCCACCCTCTGGGGCCCACCTGTGCTTGGGAGAATCTCCACCCACCTCTCAGAGCCAGCCCCATCAGGAGTTCGAGAGGTGGCAGCTCCCTCCCCACACCCACCCCTCATTCTTGGAGAGAGCTCAGGTGTTGTTCCAGGCCCCTCCTTTCAGCCCCAGGTGCTTGGCCACTCTGGACACCTTGAAAGCTGGGGTCTCAGCCATGCCCAGCACTAGGACTTTCTTTTCTGAAGGGTAGTCGGACAGGCATCTGAGTACCAGGGTGTGAGGGACCTGGACCCCATGGAGGCCCCAACACACATTTGCTGTATCTTTATTGCACTTTTATCACATTGCAAACTATTCCACAAAAATGCACCAGAGGTTTGCAGAGGACCCCGTGTGACGCATTTACATCGAATCCCCATCAATGATGAGCTGCACCCTCAGCCACCACCCAGGAAGGTCCTGGGTGCTGGTGGGCGGTGCCGAGAAACAGAATAACTGGTCATTTTCATCACTTTGAAAACACACGTGAATGTTCATCTATCCACGTAAGTCCACGTCGGCATCAGGAGCCCGGAGTCTCGGAGGGGATCCCCCGAATGCAGCAGGGAAGGGAGGGGAAAGTTTTATTTTAAGTTCGGTCCACAGCACGAGAGTCCTCCAGGGGGGCTCTGTGCACCTGGGGTCTGTGTAGGCAGCGCTCTGCACACATACAGTCTGTGTGTAAACACAAAGCAGTACGTAAAGGCTTCCCTTCCACACAAAGGGGGCCGCCCGCCGCCGGACCGCCTCTGTCCGTCAGCAGGGGAGCTCTCTCCCCACCCTCTTCTGTCTTGAAAACAGCGGAAGGTGTCCTGTCAGACCCACTGCTGGAGGACCTCACGCCCCCGAGGTCCCCGGGTCCTGGAGCGGCCTTGTGGCGCCTGAGTCTGGGCTCGGCACACGTGTCTGTTCTGGGCGCCGGCCGGCGGCTGTGGTCACTACCTGTCGGTGGAGACTCTGTGCCCAGGGTCCAGGTCGTCGTCCACCACGCGGCGTAGCCCATCCTTCCCCACGCAGTCCCCCACAGCCTGCAGCACGAGGCGCAGCCGCCGGTCCAGGGCCTCCAGGTGCGGCTGGAACAGCACAGGGGCCACCCGGTCCTGGCGCAGGGACTCAGCCATCAGCAGGCTCAGCTTGTACTCCTCCTTGGCCAGGAGCTGCAGCCGCAGGTAGGTGGACTTCCTGATCCTGCAGGAGAGAGGTGCTGGGCTGATGGACCTCTGTGCGCGGACAAGCTGAGGTCAAGTGCCTCATGGGCCCTCGGGGGTGGCCCTGCCAGGCCCCGACTTCTCAGAGGCACAGTGACGAGGGCCCTGCCTTGCAGGGCGGGTGGCCCCTGGGAGGCCCAGTAGGCAGACGCTGGGGAGGGAGGGATGGCCTGCTCACCCAAGACACAGTCCCCCTCTTGGCTCAGCATGTCCACCTGAGCAGGGTGGACACAGAGATACCCCCTTAGCTAAGGGCAGGTGGTTTGCCCACAGCTTGTTCCCCCAACTTATAGGCTGGGGAGCCCTGCAGAGGGTGGCGGAGAGGCAGAGTCTAGGCCTCCGCATCTTCATCTGTAAGATGGGCCCTTAGGGTGACAAGGAGCCGGGTCCTGGAGCCTGAGCTGGACAGGCCTTGGGTGTGGTTGGGGCACAGGTGCTCATGCCGTCATCCGGCGGGAGGGGCTGGGGTCACACTGGGGCTTGGACCTATTTCTCCTTGAGTTGTGGCTGGAGTGGGACCGGGGAGGGGATGGCGACTCCGCCTGATCTTGGCTGGGGCAGCACCTGGCCTCCTGAGGTGACAGGGTGGGGCTCCCTGCAGGGCAGAGGGCAGGGTACCTGCAGCACTGTTGTAAAGGCACCAGAATGGAAAGTTCGTCATGGGAATATTTTCCAAACCTGTGGAAGAAAAGCAGAATCGTTGAGCGGTAGTCAAAGGAGGTCCCCTGTGTGCAGAGGCTGCCACCCCGGCACCTGTGGGGACAAGAGCACCGGGGTGAGCAGCGTCTCCTGTGTGCCTGGGGCAGGGCCTGGGGCGAGGCAGGAGCCAGGTGTTCTGGCCACCGGACTGAGCCGAGGCTCATCACTGCAGGGTCCCGATCGGGCTGAGCAGATGGTAGTGGTGGGGGGTGAGCCAGGTGAGCACAGCAGCACCTTTCACAGCTGGGAACACATGACCCCCACACATGGACCGTCCAGGTGCCCACGGCTGACTTCTCTGAGGTATCAAGCGCTTGCAGCTTTAACCATTTGGAATGGGGGCCCCCTACATGCATACTCCCTTCCCCATGCACCAAGGACCACTCTCCCTCATGGTCCAGGCCAGGAGGGCTGTTTGTTCCCACCTGCTGGTTCCAGATGCCTACTTGTGGGTGGACGCCCTGCGTGCTCCTCACAGACCTGCTCTTCTTGGCCAGCAACCTCTTGGGGGCCTCAGTTTCCCCAGGGCAACAAGGGGATATAACAGGACCCAGCTCACAGGGTTACTGAGAGAATCAGGTTAAATAACATCATCAACCCTCTTGCCTATGGGGCCCTGCATCACGGAGTGGACCTTGGGGGCAGCGCTGTCCCTCCCACAGACAGCCACTGCCTCCCATCTGGGCTGGGTTCCAGGAAGGCGGACGGGGCCAGCCCTTCCCTGAGTCTGCAGGAGCAGGGCTCACCCTCTTCCATTGTCCAAGTGGATAATAAAGGTCTTGTTCCCAAACTTCTCAAAAGTCTCATAGTGATGGCGGTCCATGTTCCCTGCGGAGAAAAGCAAACCCGCCCGCAGCTGAGCATCTGCGTGCAGCTCCGAGGCAGCTTTCCTCCCTCCCAACGTCCAACCCAGAGCCTTAATCACAAAGTAAAAGCAGGAACTAGGGTCCCTCTTCAAACCCAGTCCCCATGGATGGGCACTGGAGCTCTGGGCTGAGTTGCATCAGGACTGGATAGCCTCCCTGCCCTACCCATGAGGAAGTCGAATATGGTCATGTCCATGATGTCCAGGATGCGGTGGCTGCTGTCATAGGGGGGTGTCTGCTTCACCTCATTGCAGTAGTTGGGGTCCACTTCCCACCTGCAGAGAGTCAGTGTGAGAGGTTGGCCCAGCTCTGGGTTTACACAAAGTACTGGGCTTAGAGAAAAGGTGTCACTATAAAATGAAGTGTCTGAAGATTCACATGCCCACAGCAGGCTGAGGATACATTAACAAGAGTATGGGGCTGGGAGGTGATGAAGCAATCCCACTCTGCCCTAGATTGGCCACACCCAGAGGTGTTTTTGGAGGGTCCCTGTTAAGAAACAGAGCCTGGTGCTGGCCAGTGTGGTTCAGCGATTAGGGCGTCGGCCAGAGCACCCAAGGGTTGTGGGTCTGATTCCGGGTCAAGGGTAAATATCTGGGCTGCTGGTTAGATGCCCAGCCCCTGTGAGAGCACATGCGGATGGCAACCAATCGATGTGTCTCTCTCATATCAATGTGCCCCCCCAGTCTCTCTAAGGATCAATGGAAAAAATATCCTTGAGAGAAGATTAAAAAAAAAAGAAACAGAGTCTGGACACCTCGCTCACAGGCCCTCTTGGTGGCTAAAAGGACGGGACATTTTCCCTGCGTGGGGGACAAGAGGGCAGAAGGGGGCAAAAGCCATGTTTGAACACCAAGGGGTTGTGTTTCCAGAGACCCAGTGGTCTGGGCAACAGCCCTTCGGGGGCCACATCTAATTCTCAGAGTGAGGACACCCCTCTGACCACCTGATCAGGCGGTGGCCTCACACACGGCACAGGCCTCTCCTCACACCCATGTGGCGCGAACAAGGCCAAGACCCCTCTGAGCTTGTCTTCTTGCTGCAAATGGATAGGAGCAAGCCCTCCCGACACCCCAGAAAGGTCAGAATAGGAAAGTTGGGGCCTGGCCTGGGGTTGCCCACAGCCACGCTTGGCTCATACTCACTCTGCCTTCTTGCGCTTGTGGTACGAGCGTCGCCAGGGGTTCCGCCAGGTCTTCCTCTTGGCCAGGGACAGGTCTGGCAGGAAGGCCGCCAGTGAGCCCTCGATTTGGTCCGGCTTCCCGCACAGGGCGTGCTCCGTGGAGCAGTAGTAGGAACACTCCCCATAGAAGCAGACATTGTTGGCTGACAGTAGAGGATGCAGATGGTCAGTGGGTCTCTCAGAGCCACAACCTCCCAGGCTGGCCCCTCCTTGGAGTGTCTGTCTTGGGCCAGGCCGCTGTCCTCCCAGGGGAGGCAGGCTCATCTGCATTCTCACATTCCATCTCAGCAAACCTCTCAATCCCATTTTACAGAAAAGGGGGGCCCAGAGAGGGCAGCTGACCTTCCCGAGGCCACACAGCTGTGGGTGTTAGAGTTAGGATCTGAACCCAGGTTCTTTCTGCTCATCCTCAAAATTAAGGGCCTGGAGTCTATGGAAATCCTAGAGTCAGTGTTCATAGCTTAAAAAAGGCATTTATACTTGTAAGAAAGTGAAGAGATGATCCACAGAGTGGGAAAATGATTGCAAATCATATATCTGATAAGGATCTAGCATTTATCAATACAATCAACTTACGATTCAACATTAAAAAGACATAACCCAATTAACCAATGGACAAAGGAGTGCAATGGATATTTCTCCAAAGAAGACACACAAATGGAACACTATGTAACCTTAAATCCACACCACGGAACACCAGGTAACATTAAATCTACACCACGGAACACCAGGTAACATTAAATCTACACCATGGAACACCGTGTAACCTTAAATCCACACAACGGAACACCGTGTAACCTTAAATCCACACAACGGAAGACTGTGTAACCTTAAATCCACACAAAAGAGCACCACATAACCTTAAAAAGAGTGACATGACCACACTCACTACACATGAACAAACCATGAAAACGTGGTGCTTGGTAAACAAAGTCAGGTCCCAAAAGGCCATACATTGTGTGATTCTATTCATATGAAATGCCTACAACAGGCAAATCCACACAGAAATATTGATGGATGCCAGGGGACAATTGGGGTGGCTGTTAACAGGGTCAGGGCTTCTTTCTAGGTGAGGGAAATGTTCTAGAATTAGATAGTGGTGATGTTGTACAACACTGTGTAAGTTTTTAAAAACCTCTGAACTGTGTACTTCAAAATGGTGAAGTTTACAATATGTGAATTATGTTTCAATAAAAATGAGTAATTTAGAAAGTGCACGTGGTCTGCTGCCCAGATCAGCTCATTGCCACAGTTCACTGCTTTACTGCAAGTTCCCGGCTGGTTATCACCTGCTGATCAGGCCCATCTGGCACCTACTGGCGTGTGTATTTACTGACGGGGTCCATGTGCTCATGAGTCGTCATTTTATTTGTTTGCTGGAGAAACCCTCAGGAGCCTGGGGTGTGTAGAAACATGAGAGCCAGAGCCACCAGCACCCTGAACCCTGACACTGTCTAGCCCGCATGGCCACACCCATGGCACATTGTCAGCAGTAGCAGAGGCCTCTGGCCCCTCTCTGCTGACCCTGAGACTGTCTTTCAGGTGGTTCTGAGGTGAGAGCCCTGGAAAAGAGGCCTATACAGAATGGAAGGATGCTGCCAGTGGCTAAACTGGGTGGTGGGCACATGGGAACCATTGTTATTATCTTAATTTTTGCAACTTTGAAAGATGTCACTAGAAATGTTGCAATAAAAATTGCACAAAGTAGTGGCTAGGAGCAGCCACACAGCCTGGGCAGCCCTGTGCAGGTGGTTCTGGGGTGTGGCCCGGCCTGGACCCTGAGGTGGTCAGCACAATGGACAGCAGAGTCTCCCTGGGGGAGAATTCAGAGAACAGAGGTCTCCCTGGCTGCATCACCTGGAGAACATTCCTGGGAGCCTGGGAGCTTTCCAAAATGAATTCCTTTTGCCTTTGGAAAAAACAGATGGTAGAAATAACCTCTATGTCCATCCGGGGGCAGACTGAACAGGGAAGTGCAACCATTTGGGGCAGCCCCTCGACGTGGGGGGGCACATGGCATGTGGTTAGAGAAAACAGCAGACTGGAGACCAGTATTCTACACAATTTCTTAAAGGTAACTGAGCTCCCGGTTACTGTGTGCAGCAAGCCAGGCGGGCTTGTCCAGGTGTAGCTTACCTGGGGAGATGAAGAAGGTTCTCCACAACTTCTTGTCTCGCGTGACGTCCCGGATTTCCTTGGTCATGTTGATCATCCTGCCGGCCACAGGAGGGACCCGGCGGAAGTCCAGGATCCTGGCAGGAAAGAAGTATTGGAGGGAGGCTTTATCTTGCTCCTCTCTGGCTGGCTTCAGGTGGAGCTTAGTGAAATCACCTCTCTCTGCCTCCTGGGGCCTGTGGCTCTGCCTGGTCTGTAGACCAGGGTCAACCCAGGACTCAGCATTCTAACCAGCCTGGGTAACATTGACCCTGTGGGCCCCGGCCACACCCTGAGCATGAGGCTCCAGAGGGCCAAGGAAGGGTTGGCCCAATCCTCTGGGCCCTGGGGCTGACCCAAGCCAGAACCATGAACTGTCCGTGGAGGGTGCAGAGCTCTGAGTGAGCCCAGGGGCTGCTGACCATCAATCCCACATGGTCCTACGTTGGCTGCCTGTCCACTTCTCTAGCAGCAAGGGGCCTTGTAGAGCCCAAAGAGGAATCCATTCTCCTGGGTAGAGCTGCCCGCAAGACAGGTGAGTACAGTGGGGGGACAGTTTGTGCAACTCTTATCCCTCGGTCCCATTGTCACCTCCCAGAAAAATTTAAACCTGCAATTCCCTGTGCAAAATTCACAACCCTTGATGCACCTCCCCTCTTCCCTTTTCCCTCTATTCCCAGTGGTCCACCATCTACCCTGGGTCCTAGCCACTCCTGGGCATGTCCTGTGGGTGCTGTTCTGGGTGTGGGCACAGCAGGGCACGTCATCTGGGTTGTAACACCTGAGAGCAGGTAACTGCTCTCTCATAGGAAAGGAATGGTTATGAGCATGGGCTGTGGGCAAATCAAATGCTCACAGTGCCCCAGTTTTCATCTCTGTCCATGGGGGATCCACGGGCCCCATCAGCAGGGAGTGGTGAGAGCTGAAGAGACCAGTTCGAGCTCAGCGCTCAGACCCCAGCAAACCGGCCTCCATGGGGAGCTGAAGGTGAGTAGAGCTCACCTGTCTAGGTGGAAGGCAGCGATCTCTGCATTGTGCCTCTCGTAGTCAGAGAAATAAAAAAAGTCAGGGGGTGTCTCCTGCTCTCTCGTTTGCCTAGAGAAAACCAGACAAATCAGAAAGGGCTTATTACTGAGAAAACCTTCTGGCCAGGCCTCCCCACACTTATTCCTTCTCACCCCATCTCCCTGGTCCCTCCCCCACTCCAGGACTGTTAGTCAGAAACCTCCTGGCAACCTCTCCAGTCCTGCCCTCCTCTCCTACCCTGCTGCTCTGGCATCACTAAACCTCTTAGCAGCCTTGCCCATCCCTGCATCTTGCCTATGCTGTGCCCTGCACTCCTCCTCAGACCCACCTCGGCCCCCAGAGGCCTTCTTGGCAGCCTGAGATGGAGGCTTCTCCCCTGAGGAGCTTGGCATCACAACACTAGATCACTGTTTGCAGGGCTTGGGCAGGAGTGCCTAGCCAAGCACCTGCTTTAAAACAGGTGTTTAATAAACAGATGAACAGAGGAGGAATTGATGGAAGAAGCACAGGGAAGGGGCAAAAATCTATCTGCAGCATCAAACTCTTTCCATTGTTATTTCTTCAATTTTCATTGTCACCACCACAACCATCACCACCACCACCATCATCACCACCACTGCTATCGCCATCACTGTCATCACTATCATCATCACCACCATCACCATCATCACCACCATCACCATCATCATCATCACTACCATCACCATCACCACCATCATCACTACCATCATCACCATCACCATCATCATCACCATCACCACCACTGCTATCTCCATCACTGTCATCACTATCATCACTATCATCATCACCATCATCACTACCATCACCACCATCACCACCATCATCACCATCACCATCACCATCACCATCATCACCACCATCACCATCACCGCCATCACTATCATCACCATCGTCATCACCATCACCACCATCACCATCATCACCACCATCATCACCATCACCATCATCACCACCATCATCACCATCACCACCATTGCCATCACTATCATCACCATCGTCATCACCACCACCACCATCACCATCACCATCACCATCATTATTACCACCATCATCATCACCACCATCATGGTCACCACCACCATTACCTCCATGGCCACTGTCCCTAACATCTATTGACCTCTTATTGCCTCATGTGCAGGGGCAATATCTGTGATGCTAAAAAGTGAGTGTTCTCTATCTGGCAATGCTTTGGCTTTTGTTCCACTCTCCCTCACCTCTGAGCAGGTCACACACCTGGAATGCAGGTGGCTCTGAGCCCTGTTGCTCTGGGAAGAGTACAATCACTTCTGCAGTCTCTGACCAGGTTTCAGAAAAGTTCCTGGTTCCCTCCCACCTCTCGCCTTTCCTCCATCCCCAGGGTTTTCACAGAAAAAAAAACAGCTCTGTCCCCAGCCCGTAGGCCACACAGGCCAGGCTGTTTTGGCTTCTAGATGCTCCTTCCCCAAAATGGCCCTGGAAGTGCAAAGAAATGGTTATGAAATGCTTTTTTGTCTGTGTACACAGAGAGGGGCTGAGATGCTCTTGGGGCTTCCGTGCTCTTTTGGCACAACTCCACCTGAGTGGATGGCATGTGAGTGGTTTTAAGGCTCCTAAAGACTGGGAGCTCCTTGGGGCAGGGACCCAATTTAACCTGATAAGGCCCACGGGGCAGAGCTGGGCACTTGGGAAATCCCCCCAAGGGGAGGAGGGCACATGGGTTGGATGGTGGACCCCTGCATGGGCCTCCACAGTCCTTTGTTTTGGCAGATGCCCATGGGTAGGAGTAGAGGGCCTGGGCCGATGGTGGGCAGACCCAGTTCCAGCAAGGAGGGCTGGGTAAGTACCCTAAACTTCTTCATCCTTGGTCTCCCCAACTGTAAAACAGGGATTTCTGCACACCTCCGTCTTCACGGATGTTGCTGCTGATACGACCCTTCCTGTCCTCCGAGCGAGTCCACCCCCC